ATGTTTTATAGACAAAATAATTTATCAGCCAATCGAGAAAATAACCAGCAGAATAATCAATCATGATAATAACCATTAGTCGCAGCCATGATTCCTGCACATTAATGATATTTCAAATAAAGAGGGAGTTTTCCTGGTGTGCCAAGCAGCCATGGGAACAATCCAAAAATACAGTATTTAGACCTATTAATCACAAGATGTGTAATTTCTGTTCCGGCTAACTTCCCCTCCAGCATGGCTGCAGCTGTAACAGGAGGCAGGCCTATTGTTCAGACTAACAAGGGGCGCAGAGGTCACTTGCATTTTCACAAGAGCTTTGCCAGAGGGGTTGGGGAAGCAACCGGCACACCGGCCTGTTTAGTATGGATCTACACTAAAGCTTTTTCTATAAAGTCACATCATTCCCAGTCTATTATAAAGTGGGATGGATTAGATTAAGTGAGATTATGCAGAGAGGGGCTCCCTAAAAAGAACAAAAATAACACGCTCAGTACTTAGCAGGCGAGTCAACAGTGGGATTAAGCCAAAAGGACACGTTCAAATCCAATGCTAATATGCACAATGGCCATCCTTCCACACACTCAACTTTTAAGTGGTCTCGAATGCTGTTGCTTCAGATTCCTGCACACGTTTCCCCAAGATGCACCAGGAACAAAAAATATGACTTTTATACTCATAGTCTGGTTATAAAATTTGAAATTAATCTGCAATTTGACAAATCTCAAAACCTCAAAATAAGAGTGATTTCTCTTCCCTCCATCAAACTGTCATCCCGTCTCCCTTCCTTGTCAAGCCCTCACACAGTTTGTACAATAACAACTCCCAGCACCGATGCAACCGAAAAAATGCACAAAGTGGTTGCACACTCTAACATGATTAAATGATGTGTGGTCTGGCGTCACTCCCAGCACCTCTCCCATCCCTCACTCCGCTCCATATCTCCCTCCTGCAAGAACGCAAACACACACACACACACACACACACACACACACACACAGATTCCCTTTCCCTGAGCTGTGTTTTGAAAATAGAAGCTTCATATTAACAGTCAACAGTCAAGCTGACAGGTACAGTCCGACCGTTCTCTCCATCATAACCCCCCCCCCCCCCCCCCCCCCCGCTCCCTCGGTGGATATCTGCACAGGACACATGTTGCTGCAGCTCCGTGTCACCGAGGTGGAGCGTCGCAAATCATCACAAACACACACATGAGGAATGCAGAATTACACACATATGCTTATTTTGTCGTTCTGAGTGGTGGAAGGAGAATTCGGATCCCTCGCCGAAATTAGACTATAGCAACACCGCCATGTAAAAATACTACATTACAAGGAAAAATACAGACGTATTAGCAGCAAAATGTAGCTAAGTATGAGAAGGATTACTGACACAAGCAGAATTTGAATGTTCTTTTTGAACTTCTTTACACTGTTTACTGTAGTTTAATCCAGCGGTTCTCTACCTCAGGGGTCTCGAGGTGAATAACAGGATAGGAAGGATGAAAAAAACCTCAGTTAAATGCAGTTATATTCATTCATTCTGACTGTCTTTTATTATCTTTCTTATGAAATCCTAGATGATCACACTCAAATGAATCACTCTTTGGTTGGTTTGTGGACAGGTACGTTAGAAACCAAAAGCCAAAATAATCACAGTCGATCACATGATGTTTTGGGTAAAATTTGACCTTCATCTTCAGGTAATATTTGTCATATCTTACGATTATCCAGAATTTTTTTTCATGATTAGGTGCAACTGAAACGTCAGCAAAGTAAGGGGAACAAAGTGAGTGAGGTTACAAATGATTTTTCTGGGGCTCACAGGCAGAAAAAGGTTGGGAAAGACTGGTTTATAACAACACAACAATATAACAATACAACATATTTAATAAAATGAAATCTGTGTCTGCAAAGTGTCTTGTAGCAATAGCTGTCAAAACATTTAGCTCAGTTAAAAAGCTCAACATCTCCCTCTGAAATGCGGTGGAGTCATAGAAATTTACTCAAAGCGCTTGATGGGTAAATGTACTCTTATACAATCTCACCGCCAGAGGTACCGCAGTATCAAAATAACCCTTTACAATGTTCTAATTGCTCACAAGTACCATAATAATAGGATTATTAAAAATGAAGTGCTGTTTGACACCAAAGTAAACCTCAAGATTAAGCTGCTACAACTGCCCAGTGACACACTTTCCTGAGCTGAGAGCGCCAAGGTTTGCCCTGCACTCTCTTTACTCATTGAAAATAGTCATACCAGTGGGGTGATTCATCCCCAGGAGTTTATTCTGTCAAGCAAAGACAACACAAAAAGGACCTTGAGCGAAACCTACACAAACCTCCCACAGGCTCTGACCGCGGAGGAAGAGCAGTCGGCCGCTTTGCTCGCTCGCCTTTTTTCCTGTTAGTGAGCTTAAGAGAGCTCACGGTACGCAAGGAGCTGCTCGCCGCAACTGGAATTCCCAAGCCGAATCAATAACATTATGACATTATACACCATCTAACAGCCCTGTTTACCAGCTACTTAAGCACATATTGTTGGTAAAAAAAAAAAAAAAAAGAGAGGCTCAGGCTGCACACCTTTGGGAATGGGTTCAGTTTAGCTGCTGCAAAGCAGACTGGACTGTCATGTTTCACAAAGCAGTATTTATCTCTTAACTGTTTGGGTGTAAAATGACACTGCACGTCACTTTTTGTGTCTCAGGAATATTTTCAGACAAAACGGAGCATCAGATGCGGCATATAGACAATGTATCAGTAGGTGAGTGTGGCTATAGTCGAGACACACCGGCTCTCAGTCTCCTCCCAGGCTGGCCAGCAGTGTTGCTGGAGGTAATGAGGCCTCTTGTGTGTCCTCTCTGATCTGAGAGTTGAATAATTTCCCATGTGGCACAGCCATTTCCAGCTTCCGCCTTCACTCTCACCTCGTCGGGTGAGTGGAAAGGCGAGAGCACAGACTCCCACCCTACGCTAAAAACGTGTTGCCATTGTCAACCCACAGTGACAGTCACACACACACACACACATACACATACACACAGACCTCAGACTGGCTGCAGTCCAGACCAGAAAAAAGATTTGCTTCAGTGTCTCAAAGATATGTGTGATTGAGGTTTTTGTTCACTAATCTGAGTCAGAAGCAGCTGAATGTCCTTTTACAGTTGTATTCTGCCTCACTATGTGCTGATGCTTTTCACTGGTCAGTAGGAAACTCAGAGTTAATAAATGGTCTACTTCAGCGCCCAGACACACGTGCTGGGTTGCAGATCTCTGTTTCAATGTGTCTTTTGTTTGACGGCTGGTGTTTCAACATCCTCAACTTGAATAGAAGAAGGTCAGCCTGGTGGGGTCTGCCCCATGGTTATTCAGGAGCCCAACCTGGGGCCCCTCGGAGATGGGGTGACTGGGAGGGAGGGGATGGGACAGAACCCCCTCCAACCCCCCCACCCCCCACCCCTTCTCTCCTCTGTCTGACACCATCCAAATCTATGAAGCCACTGGAAGTTTGAAGTTTCCCCACACAAATGGGAGCTGAATCAGCTTTTAATCACACATGCTGTCATCGAGTGCTTGTGATGCGCGCAGATTGAAAGGCCGGCACATGCAGGGATTTGAGCGAATGGGAAATCCAAGGACCAGGTGCACAAAGATGGCAGCCTCCTATAGTTGGACCAAACCTCGCATCCATGTGTCAAGACTGTATCTAAAAGTTTGAAAACCAGTTGAGTGGAGAACCCAGCTCAAAAGGGCTGCATGGAAAACAGACCCATGGATGACATGACAGAAATGTAAACAAGCGACCAAGCACTGCTCAATAACTGGCATCACCACAGAAGTTTTGCATGAGCTTCGGCGGCTGGATCCAAACAAGTCCGCTGTGCAGGGCAGATATTCGGATGCTGCAGACACGAGGAGAATGAACTTTTCAGCAACATAACAAAAACAGGAAGAGCTCTCCTGGACATCTCACCAGAAAAAGACAAGAAACATCTGCATGTGTGTTTGTTTGCCTGCTTCATGTCCCTAAACTGAAGATTTATAGAAGCAGGAATTAAGTGTGTGTGTACATACATACATATACATATATATATATATATATATAGCCTATGTATATGTGGGAGAAAAACACTCCTCTCGCCTTGATCATGGTTAGGAAAGCAGATCAGGGAGCAGGGTCTAGCTTACTTTTTCCACTTGGCCATGCTTTTTGCTTCCTGGACAGATGTACAGCAAGAAAAGGAGCCCAGTTCTATATTAGAGGCCCCCTTACTCCCAACTGGGTCCATATTCAGACAGCAGGAATTTGGGGAGTCAACTTGTTAAACCCTTACCAAGCAATAATGACCTACAGCAGCAAGATAACTCCAGGGCTGTGACATAAATGCACTGATATATGATGCTGTACACATGCGCTGCTGTTAATAAAAGTCCAGAAATAAACATTTAACATGGCATTAAATGGATAATCCGCGCGCTGCAGTGGCCGCTGTCTTGCCTTGTCCACAGTTATTCTGCAGCCTGCGTGTATCAGCAGCATTAAATCCTCATTAGACAAACCATGTGCACATCAGAAGCCAAAGGTAAAAAGAAAAAAAACAAAAAAAAACAAGACCTTGTGCATACACACATACATACACGCGCGCGCAGGGACACACGCACAGCGGAATGATTCATTCTGCAAGCAAAATGCATACAGGCTGCTACAATGTAGCCTCCAAGCCCCAACGCTTTAGAGATCAACGCGGCATCTGTTACTAACGAAATGCACAACCTGCTTAACAGCCCGCCGGTTCAATCCCGACGGCACAGGGCAGCGTGGTAGTAAATAAAAAGCTGCCGTTTATTATTACATGCTCCGACGTGCTGCTCAGTGCCAGTTCAAGTGGTCACTCTATTGTTGAGAAACAATCTGAGCCAAAGTGGAAACAAAAACCTTTCCCGAGACAAGAGCCTCGCAGCGCGACACCGGGAACAAGCAACGTTAAGTTTGCAGCTACTCACCGGGTTATTAAGCGGAGAAAGTCCTCGGTAATTTTCGGCTCTTGTTTTTAAATATCTTCCCCCCTCACGGCCACTGAGAATGGGCTCAACGTCAGTGGGTGAGTAACTGAATAGACTCGGAGAGAGCGCAGTAAGTTGAAGTGTCAAATTACATTGGCTATTCTATTACCAAAGGGACCCATGCTCGGTGGCTGCTGACAAAATGTGTCGCGGATTCTACGCGGAGGAGAAGCCAACAGGAGGTGAGCCCGGAGCGGAGCCGGACTGCCGCTCAGCTCAGCAGCCATCTGGTTCACTGGATCTGCCGGAGCGACCCGCTCACTGACAGTGGTACCAGCCGGGTCCACCGCTCTGTGTGGAGATTATCTTCATTTCGGGGAATTTTAAAACGCTGATACACAAGCAGTTTCACACATTAAAATGGAAGCTGAGCACGCTGGGTATTAATATTATTTCGTAGCTCCTTGTGGATTAAATTAACCTAAAAACATATAATGGTTGTTTATTGGCATTTAAAATGATTTTTTTTTTACCATATAGGGATTAAACAAAGAAATGTTGATATATTATTATCACTACTTACGCTAATTGTAGGCTACTAGTAGTCATCGTATTCACCAAAAATAATAGTAAATGCAAAAAATAACAATAGTAAAAATTGCGAATTTAAAATCCTAATGTATAATACTGACATTAATACTTGCTATAGATATGTCGGCTAATAGGCTACTTGTAGGGTACTAATAGAAAATAATAATAAATAAATGTAAAAATTAAAATAAGACAAAACCAAAAAATTTGAAAAAAAGATAATACAATGAAATGAAAATTAAAAAAAAAAAAAGTAACAATGTTGCAAATATAATAGGCCTACAATAATTCTAATTATTGCATTAATATTAATAATAATAATTGCCATCATTAATCCTTATACAAATGAACTCTGTGATTACTAAAGCCTACAGGTGTACAATCTGTAAATTTACTATCAGATTGTCTTTATGTAAAAATGAACGTCTACTACAATACTTCAAATGGCCTAATGAACAACAACAAACAGCAGGCACGCCTATAGAAGCACGAGCGTATCGACGCACACGCGCTGGCGCCTGTGTGATCCTGTGATCCTCCTCGGAGCTGACGCCACCCTCCGTGTTTTGCAGGTCGCCGCTCTCTGATGGAAAGCTCTGAATAACAAAGACATGTTTGAGAGCAGCAGCGGCATCAGCAGCAGCGGCGGCAGCAGCAGCAGCAGCGGCAGCAGCAGCAGCAGCAGGCTGGGCTGAGCGCTGACGTCAAGGAGCCATGACTGTGCCAAGCAGCATCCAGACTCCAGTCCACCACACACACACACACACACACACACACACACACACACACACACACACACACACACCACACACACACACACACACACCTGCCACTGCCACTGTCACTGTGGCTTGTTTGGAAGCATCCCATGTCAAAAGTTACAAACACACCACCCTGCATGCTGTGATTGACTCTCCAAAGTTGGGATCAGGAGCTCTTATGGTGGAGGTCACCACACAACTGATACACTCTGCCGGTGTGTTTGCACTCCTCTGTGCTCCTGATCTCTGCCCTATGTATCTACCCCAGCTGTCTAAGTTAGGGGGAGGGATGGGCTGGAACAATAGGCGCCATTTGTCCTGCTAAAAGGTGACAGGAAGCATTGATTTCAGCCTGTTCCAAGCTTGTAAGCCATCCCTGAATTGGCTAATGTTAACATTTCCCTTTAATGGAGATTGGAATTTTTTTTAAGGTAATTGTGATTCACAGCAGTTGCATCAGGATGCAGGAGCAAACTTTTGATTCCAGCATACCAACCCCCCCACCCCACCCCACCCCATCAATTTTATCGAGCTGTTAATTGCAATAAACCCCTCTCATTTTCAATAGGTGATTGTTGCAAGTTGCAAAATAAACAGCTTAAATCTGCACAAAAGCTTTTATATGAAAGAATAGAACAAAGCACAAATTGGCAAACAGACAAAAACTCTAATTATATCTAATATATCTAATGACTGGGTTTAATTAAAGCCAGTCTAGCCTGCTGAGGATATCTAAGTTACTTAAAAGTCTGCAGCTGTTGACATGAACATGCAGTAAATCAAAAACCTATTAAATACAGTATATTTTCACACATTATTCGACATTATTTGATAATTAAAATTGCACCTTTTAAAAGCCAAAATGTAATTTTAGTACAAGGTAAAGATGTTAGAATTGCATTCATATACAAATCAAAGCATGATGTAGAAGATTGAATAGTTTAGATCTATATTTAATACCATACAGTTAATTCTAAATGTAATTAGGCAGCAGTTTGGTGCTCTCACTGGTAGGAATTTCTAAATTGTCGTCTATTAAATAGCTTAAAATAGTTCTCACTCACCAATTTGTCTCAGGCCACTTAGGCTTGTCACACTGAGCTGGAAGAGCTATTCTTGTGATGAATTTCTTGTATGGTTAAATATTTGAGCCACTGAAGGACTTCTTCTTTTCCTGGGCTGAGCAACCAAAGTTAAAATTCAGGGTCAGCATAGACACAATTTAGGCAGCTCATGTATGCAAAGGTATGACTTCATAATTGACAATTCAGTCAGATTTTCTGCGTAACAATTGACCGTCATGATATAAAATCCTCCCAGTTGTTCCACTGGGATGTTTTGAAAAGGATCGACCTGTCAGACCTGTGATCACAGCATTGTGACACCTTCTCTGTCTCTTTCTCTCTCTCTCTCTCTCTCTCTCTCTCGAGATGATGTGACGTCTGTGATCTACGCTGGCGCAAGACAGACACACTGATCCAAATATAGAGGAGAATTTTCCTTATCACACTGGGTCAAGGAGACTGAGTCAAAAAAAAAAAAAAAACAACGGTATGTCAGTGCATTTCTTTAAAAATGATATGCAAAGGGATGTTCAGCAGTGCAGCATCAGCAGACTCGAGAGCAGGCTCAGTGGGACATCTGATTTACCCGACATGCTTAACTGGCAGGGGCGTGCTGGTCTGGCGGTTAACACTGTCACCCCACAACGCGCAGATTTGATTGCTGGCCTTTTCTGACTGGAGTTTCTGTATTCCACTCAAGTGGACTTTAGTTTATTCTGGTTTTCTGCTCCCGTCAATATCAGTGGATTAGGGATCAGACAGTAGAGGTGGAGCTTACAAATCACTTTGCTGATTTAAAGGTGCTGTATGGAAGATTTTGCTAGTGCTACATAGTCAATGTTTGCATTTACAGCTCTGTACTTACCAGTCTAAAAGAAACTTGCGAGTTCAACATCAAACTTCATTAATTTACTCGCCCAGAGCTGTCTCCTGCGGTGGAAAGCAATTAAGTAATTTTGCTTTTTGTTTCTATCAGTGAAGTTAGCATGCTAACCAGATATCCCCGGCCCGTCCTGTCTCATAATACCACTTTGCAATAATGAAGCAGTGCTGCCCTGCTTCTGGCAAGACACCATGTTTGGCTGCAGAGAAAACTTCCATATAGAACCTTTAAAGCTGCACTAATTAGTATTTTTGTATTAGCAATGGAAAATATGAAAGGGGTTGCTTGTAGCAATGAACCTACAGAAATCTCGCTCAGTTCTACTAAATGTTTTAGTGTCTTTCAGCTCATTTGGTTTTCCAGTCAGAAACTTTACTGTTTAGGTTCATTCTCACCACTATCATCAGTATCCAGCCACAGCAGGCAGCTTAGATAAACCTACTATACATTACCTGCTCAGCAGCAAACTACAGAGACAGTGTGGTGGAGACCAAAACAGAGCTAAAAATGGAGTGAATATTTGACTTCCATTCAGGTGGACACAAAGATGACTCCAATGCTAATGTTGCTCCGTGCCTGTTACATGTTTGCTAACACCAGAACAACTTCATAAGGTGATAATGTTAATGTTGTGTTTACACCTCGTTGCACTGCCCTCCAGTGGCAAAAACAATATCATTGAATCAAGGTTTAAGTGATTGCATCACTGTTCATAACATTGTAATCTGATTTTCTTCAGTCTCTGATTTTCATCTGTTGCTGGTTCAAACTGTTTTGTTCTGTTCAGTACAAGAGTAGGTTTACAAAAACACTGTTTGTAAAGGTAATATCTATGCACCCGCCTGCAACAAAGTTACCACATCATGTCTTTTAGTACATAACACACTGTATATTATGTTAACAGTTGTGATTTTAGTCAGCGGCTCCAATGCTAAAAAAAAGCTGCTGATTCAATCAGTGACACTGATAATTCAGAACACTCTGTTCAGCTTGAGGATTTGGTGTTAAAGATTTATTTGTTCATGTACTGAACACGTCCAACAGGCAATTCTAATCCACCAAAAACAGCCAGTGCCAAATGCAATTACTGTCGACCGCTGAATGCACAGCCTCTTTCTGTTTCTGTGCACCCAGCCCACTTTATATTTTGTAATGCTCCTTTTAATAACCCCATTAGTGTCTTTTTTTCGTAGTCGCTGATGTCTTGTTAAGGTTGTCTGTCCTTGATTGGCTTGTTGTTGTTATTTTTTGGATTCTTTTGTATGCGGTCAAGCCAAAGGCAAACGTCCACATTGTTGATAATTAGGTCCCCAACAAACCAAATAACATTGATACACATTAATGTGTGTGTGTGTGTGTGTGTGTGTGTGTGTGTGTGTGTGTGTGTGTGTGTGTGTGTTCGTCTGTCTGTGTGGGTGATCCTGTCTCCTAAAATTTACATCATACACTCCTAATTTGCAGCACATTTAGAAAGAAATGTAAAGCTGCCTGGATTAAATCTTTTATCAAGATAATGAGGAAATATTTTGAAGGCACAAATGTGCAGAGTTGTAAAATGTTCATACTGAACTTATCTGCCAAACCATCACTGTTAACATGCAGTATTTAATTTGCTCTCCCCCCCCCTTCCCAGTACCTCCTTGTGGCAACTTCGGCATGATTGCATAAGTCAAAGCACTTGATAAGGAAAGATGTTGTGTTGAATAAAAATGGGGAAAGTAAATTAAATTACGTCTTTAATGTTTCAGTATTTAATA